GGGGGATAGTAGAGGATAGGAAAGGTAGCAGAATACAACAGTTACTAATAGGGCATTATGTAAAAATGTGGATGTGTAACCGATGTGATTCTGCAATCTGTATTTGAGGTAAAAATGGGAGTCATTAACCCACTTGAATCTAATGTATGAAATATGATGTGTCAAGAGCTTTGTAATGTTGTGAACAACCAATAAAAATAAATTAAAAACAACAACAACAACAAAAACTGGAAAAAAGATAAAACATGATCAGAATAGACAAGAACTCTGGGATAACATCAAGAGACAAAACCTGAGAATCATTGGGATAGAAGAGAGCAAGGAGATACAAGCTAAAAACATTAAGAATATTTTAAATGTGATAGTTCTAGAAAAATTTTTCACATATTAAAAATAAGATAGACATCCACATACAGGTGGCATATGGGGCCCTAACTAGACCTAATCAAAGAGAAATTCTCCAAGACACATCATAATCAAAATGCCTAACATAGAAAATAAGGAAAGAATATTAAAAGTTGCAAGAGAGAAAAATCAGGTCACATTTAGAAGCAAACTAATAAGGCTTGTGTCTGATTTCTCAATTCATACTCTAAAATCAAGGAGGATCTAGAATGACATAGATTTAAAAGAACAACTGCCAGCCAAGATTATCATACCCAACAAAGCTCAGTTTCAAATTTGAGGGGGAAATAAAAAATTCCAAGACAAGAATAGACTAATAGAATTTATGATCACCAAGCCAGTACTACAAAGAATACTCAAAGATGTACTGTACACAGAAGGACTCAAAAACAAATTCTAAATGGCCTAAATAGATGAAGATAAACAGAATAATAATCCACTAAATAAGAATCAAGAGAGGATGAAACAAAAAACCCCAAGCCACAAACATATCCCTAACTCATACTGGATGTTAATGGTCATAACTTTCTCATCAAAAGACATACATTAACAGAATGGATAAAAACAAAATGAACAAGACAAAAAAAAACCAAGATCCAACTATATGCAGTTTATAAGAGACTCATTTTATAGGCAAAGACACCTGAATGCTGAAGATAAAAGACGGGAAAAAATATTCCTTGCAAACAGATCCTCAGAACAAGCAGGAGTAGCTTTTCTCATATCTGACAATATAGTCAATATAGATTTCAAGCAAAAATTCATCAGAAGAATCTACTGCATTTCTGATAAAGGGAATAATCCAACAAGAAGATATAATGATACTAAGTATTTATACCTCAAATGTCAGCACACCCAATTATATAAAACAAAACAAACAAAACCTCCACAACAATCAATCTCAGAATGATCCCAACACAATAATACTGGATTATTTCATCATACCCTTATCAGCAATAGGTCATCAAAACATAAAATCAATAATGATATTTCCAACCTAAATAAAACGATAAATCAAATGGACCTAATAGTCATTTACAGAATATTTCACCCCCAAACAGCTGAATCTACCTTTTACTCAGCAGTGCCTGGAACTTAGTTCAAAATAGACCATATCCTTACTCACAAAGTAAGTCTTAGCAAATACAAAGAAATCGGTATAATCTATATAATTGCACTAAAGAAATACAATGAAACTTGAAATCAACAACAAGAGAAATAACGGAAACCATATAAACACGTGGAGATTGAACAATCTTTTAAATGAATAATTGATCAAAGAAGAAATGAGAATAGAAATCAAGAAATTCTTTGAAATGAATGAGAACAGAGATCCAGTATATAAAAATTATGGTACAGTATAAAAGTAGTGCTAAGAGGAAAATTTATAGCACTTAGTGCATACATTAAAGATTAGAGAGATACCAAATAAATAGGTCTATTCTCCACCTTAAGGCTTCAGAAGAAAAAGTACAAACTTATTCCCAAATCATCGGAAGATAGGATATAATTAAGATGAGAGCCCAAATTATTGAAAGTGAGAATTAAAAAAATATAGAGGATCAATGAAACAGAGTTGATTGTTTTTTAAAAAATTTATATATGACAGTGGAATGCACTACAATTCTTATTACACATATAAAGCACAATT